TAAATTCCTACCTAATGCGAAGAAGCAAAAAGCACGAACTTCAGGGAAGAAGTCTGAAATTCCGAGAGCCATCGGAACTCGACAAAATTCGAAAAGGACTCAAAAGGAAATTCAAAAAGAACGAAGCAAATTCCCGCGCAATGTTCGCGCCCAAAACATTGAAACCGAAATGAAGGAAACGACGTCAACATTTATTAATCGCGCGCGTGGGAGCGTGCCAGCCATCCAGTCGACCAATCAATCAACCGGCCATTCGAGGACACACCCAGCTCCGAACCCAGTCATTCGAAAAGAAGCGACGAAAAAGACGAAAAAGCAAGGACACTGATGCAATTTTCCACCGATCCTAATCTCCCGTAATTGGCCCAACCTTCCCAGCTTAGGACCCCTCGTTGCATCCGCGCAGAAAATCGTGCGTTACAGAAAGTGGTTCATCATAGGGGCTGCCCAAAAGCTACTCCAAACATCCACTGGGCCCAGCGCTCTGACCCCCAAGACCGTAACTTCAATGAAAGGAGACATTGGTAGTATAGGGTGCTGTTAATGGGACAGAGGGCAACAGGGGATGGAATCCAGCTAACTCTCTAGACAAGCTGTCTAAGGCCCAGATCTCTAGGTTGCGACCATGGGACTTGTGTATACTGTTACTTACCTTATGCTGTCATGCTTTTTTTTTTTTTTTTTTTTTTTTTTTTTTTAAGAAAATACCACCTCGTGACTACTGATAGGAGTGATGATAAGAGCATGCACTCCTACCAGTTTCACTGGGGGCTCCAATCTATTAGTGGGGAGCGGCACCTACTGGAAAGTGGGTCCAGCGTCCCTTGACATGTAATGGTGAACCATTGAAATAGATAGTACTGGGAAACGGGCCCAGCGTCCCTTGTACCTCTTCACCCTCATCTAAGTGGCGCCAGATTTCTCAGCTTAGCCCTGGTACTAATTTGGGTAACAGATACTGATAAAGACTGTTTTGCCATGACCACCTGCAGAAGAACTTAGTAGACAACCTGACCAGATCACCCTGAAATCTCCACTCGAACATCTCCTTTTCAGACATAGCCATACCAACTCAAGGGGACCAGCGATAGAGAGGAGGGGGGAAATGGGTCTGGGAACTCTRAGGAGGGGCGCAGAGGGATTGATGGGTCTACATTGGTCCAGTCATAAAATATCAGACGAAAGTCTCTATGAACTTCCTCTCCTTGCCCTTCCTTGGTACCTCTCCTTCCCTCTCCTTCTCGGATCTGTCCAATCTTCCCTCCTTGAGGCCCCCCA